CCAGGTCCCCCCCCCCCCCGCCAGGTGCCAATCTGGGGGCCCATCGGGTGCCCACCCGGGCAGGGACCTGCTGGTATTTCCCTGCCGCTGTCAAAGGCACCTGAAATTCGACGGGAAGGAAGAAGGAATTACCCGTTTGTACTTGTAGCTCCGCTCCCCTCCAGGGATGAGACAGCCACAGCGGAGGAAATTCCTGCCTAATCAACTCAATTAGTGGGAAATAACACTGGGCTGGGTCTGTGGGAGGAAGAGGAGGGATGCAGAGCTGGCGGGTGGGAGATGATGAAGAGCGTTTCCATCCTTCTCTCCCACCCCGCGGCCGGCGCGGGACCCGCTGGGAAGCTGAAATCTCTGTATCTGGAGCAGGTCGCTGCAGCAAAATGAGTCTTGGAGAGGGGGAAAAATATGAAATGACCTGGATTAAAAACCCAGAATGAGGGAAAAATGCAAAGAGGCTCAGAGCTGATGGGATGACCACGGGTTTTGGAGGAGCTCCGTGGGAGGTGGCAGGGCAGGGCCGTGGGGCTGGGCCGTGCCGGGGTGTCACACCGGGCTTTGCCAGCGCTGCCCTGGGATGGAGACGGTGACAGCCCAGGGTCCGGTGGGCTCAGCCCGGCGCCGGGACGTTGCTCCCTGGCTGGCTTCTCCCAGCCAGGAGTTGGCGGGAGGGAAGGATGCTCCCGTGTTTTGCCTTGGTGGTTTTGGGGAAGCCCAGACATGCGTGGGGAGTCTGGTGCTGGCGGGCGAGTGGTTCTGACATCCTCGTGGGGCCCTGACATCTCCCCTCCTCTCTCCCGCAGACCCTCTTCCAGAGCCCCGACGAGGGCTGGCAGGTTTACACCTCGGCGCAAGCCCCCGACGGCAAATGCCTCTGCACGGCCGTCATCCCCGTCCAGGGCACGTGCTCCCGCGACCTGCGCAGCCACCAGCTCCGCCAGCTCATGGAGAAGGTGAGTGCTAATCACTGTTACCGACCTAACGAAGTCATTAATTGGAGGGTGGGAGGACGCACACAACCAGCAGCATGGACCTCCGTGGTGGGGGATCCCCCTCTGGTGTGGGTGCAGCCCCCAGCGGGGTAGGACGGGCTCATCCCCTTCCCTGGGGACACGCAGCGGACGTGTCCCGGTGTGGCCACTCGTGGTTCCTTTTCTGTTCACCGGGACGAGCATCCGTAGCTCTGCAGCATCCCGCTGCACCGGGCGGGGAGCGTTGTCATCCTCCCACGTGGCTGGTGGGAAGGGCCTCCCCGTGGCACCGCCAGCACGTGCCCGTGGCCTCGCCGCACGTACCGAGCCCGCGGGGATGAAATCAGCCCGGAGATAAATCCCAGACGGGCTTTGTCCGTGAGCCAAATGGCGTTTAATGGAGCCCGGGTGGTTCCGCCGTGCGGAACGGGGGACGGGTGGGTTCTCACGGGGGTTTCCATGCTCCCAGCCCCTTTCCCGTGGGCTCTGCAGCGCTGCCGGCAGAAGCCATCAGCATTCCCCTCCCCACGGCACGGAGCCGTGAGCCTGAGCAGAGCTCATTTAATTTCTCCCTGGTTTTTACACATCCGCACGGGCGGGCACACCGCAAACCCGATTAAACTTTTATTATAACGTGCTGCAAAAACGCCTCTTATGCAGCTCCCTTCCGAGGTGGCGGCAGCACCGTAAATACCAGCGGGGCTGGCGCTAATAAATAAATAACCGCTTGAGGAACATGGTCACGTTCGCGTCATTTGAAAGCAGGGAAATAAAATAACTTTGCTGGCTGCGGCAGATGAAATTAAAGAAGGAATGCTCAGAGACCAGGCTGGGAAATGTGCACTCGGGTGGTTTAAAAAAAACAAATAACAGCTGAAGCAGGATGAGTAAAATGCATCATTTTATACATTAAAGCTGCAGGGGGAAGAGTTTTCTCGCAAGCGTTTACATAAACAGCGGCGTGGTGGAGCGGGGAGCGGCTCGGCTGGGGATGGGGACACCGGGGGGGGGACTCCCCACCAGCACCCCCGGGCTGGTCCTGGGGGCTGCTCTCCCTTCCCCATCCCCTGTCTGCTTCTGCATCCCCAAATTTCTCCAGCTCAGGCCTCTTTGTTAGCAGCAGGGGGCTGCGTTAATTAGACCGAGGGTTTTATCACACCCCCCCCGCCCCCCATCCCGCCATGCAGGTGCAGAACATCTCCCAGTCGATGGAGGTGCTGGACCTCCGCACCTACCGGGACCTCCAGTACGTGCGCAACACCGAGTCCCTGATGAAGGGTTTGGACTCCAGGCTGAAGGTGGCTGCTGAGAGCCAGAAGAGCCTCAACGCCAAGAGCTTCCAGGTGAGCCCGCACCCCCCTCTCCCCGCCCCGATGCCTCTCGCACCCCGTGGGCAGCTCCCCCCCGAGCACATGGTGCTGCGTGGATGCTATGATGGGGGTGGGCGCCCTGGGAGGGGTCGTGCTCTTGGGTGGTCGAGCATCCCTGGGGTGGTCCCAGGGTTAAGCATCCCCGTGGCACGCGCAGGATACGTGCAGGTGCCCGGTCACGTGGGGCAAAGTGACCCGGGGCCACATCCAGGTGCTGTGGGGGGGAGCTGTGCCGGTGGCAGGACAGCAGGGATGGCCAATTCCCAGCCCATCTGGCTGCAAATCCACACCTTTAATTAAACAAAACGCGACTCTTCCCTGCCAGAGCCACTATTTCCACCTGACGGGTGGCAGCCGTCAGCGCCGCGTCCCGATCGATGCAGCCTGCACATCAACACTCTGCCTGTGCTGCAGCGGCTGCGCGCCCCCAAGAAATCCCATTACCACCCCCCCGCCGGGGCACTGGTTTATTTTGGGAGCCTCAAGGCTTCATCCTGACAGCTGAAGAGTGTTTCTGTCTGGGGAGCGGCTGGTTCTTGGCACTGAAAGGGGCCGGAGGATGCTGGGGTGGACGCTGGGTGCTGACAGTTGCAGAGACGAGACATTGATTAACCATCGGAGCCGCAGCAAATGTCTCGGCTGGTTTAATCACAGCAGGAGATGCTGAGCCCTGCGACCGGGCTGCAATCCCGCCAAGCCACGGGAACGCCGCCCGGAGAGAAAAAGCCGGGAGGGAGGAAAGGCGTTGGCGAGCCAGGCTTGTTCCTGTGGAAAACCACCGAGCCGGGGGCTGGCGAGCGGGGCCGGGGGCCGTGGAGCGGGACGGAGGTGCTGGCTGGGGATTTACAGCGTCCTTGAGCGAAGGGGACTCAGCGGAGCGGCTCGTAGCCAGGGCCAGCTCCTTGCCCAGCTCCCCCACACCGCTTCCCCACCGTGCCAGGGCACAAACCCTGCAGGCAGGCCCATCGCGGCTGTTTCAGGGTGCTGAGCCTTTACCTGGGCTCAAAACGCATCTTAACCATCTCCTTATGCTAAAATACGTGGAGATTTTTCAACCTGGACTTGTTGCTCTTACTGCCCCCGGCACCGTCACTGCAGCATCCTGCATCCCTCCGTGCCCAGCTCCCCGCTGGGGAGGGCGGGTCTCACCCCCAGCGGGGCCACATCCTGCTCTGCGGAGTGAGGCGATGGCATCGCCTGCGGGTGCTTCGTTACCTGCCGCTCCCCAGGAGCTTGAAAGTTGCAAAGCCTTGTCATTATTATGAATTACCGACCTGGGGAATGGGGCTCATCTCTGGTGTGTTAAGGAAGCCTCGCTGGGTGCTGGAGGGCTCCTTGCTCCCCCCCGGAGGGATGGACAGACAAACAGCAGGCGTGGAGGTGGGCACCAACTCCAGGCTGTTCACTCTTTATCCAAATTTAACTTATCTCCTTTAGTTTTTAAATTTAAAAGGCGCGGGGGACATTTATTTCTTTTTTTCCCCCTTGCGCCCCTGAAACAGGAGCTCAAGGACAAGATGACGGAGCTGCTGCCCCTGATGCCCGTCCTGGATCAGTACAAGTCGGACACGAGGTTGATCGTGCACCTGAAGGAGGAGGTGAGGAACCTCTCCGGGAGCTTGCTGGCCATCCAGGAGGAGATGGGGGCCTACGACTACGAGGAGCTGCAGCAGCGGGTGCTGATGCTGGAGGCGCGGCTGCACGCCTGCATGCAAAAACTGGGTATGATCCCCCCCCGCCTTGGCTCTGCTCTGAGTGGACACCCAGGTCCCCCGGGCACAGCATGTCCCTGCCCGTGCTGGGATGCCCGGGGTTCCTGCCTGTGCAGGCAGGGTGGCAGCCAGTGCTGCCAGCTTCCCCTGTCGGAGAATCCAAGCTGCTGCTGCCTGCAGCTGCCCGGCGCTCTGCCTGCGTGCCGGGCCTCCTGTTTTGCTGCACTGCTGATATCTTCCGAATATTAATAATAATAATAGTAATACCGGCAGCTCAGCGTCCTCCAGGACATGCCAACGGGTGCAGCTGGGCCCTCTTTCCTTGCTCAGGAATCGCTGCCAGAACCCGGCGGTGCCTCTTCCTATAGCATCCCCCGTCCTGCTGCCCTGTCCCCCGAGAACCTGGGGGGGTCCCTGAGGTGACTGGGAGCTCTGGTTCCTCCCCACTCGGTGTGTGATGCCCACGGGACCAGAGGGAGCCAGGAAACATCTTGGTCCTGGATTCCCCCCCCCTAACCCAAACCCTGTCCCCCCACCCCAGGCTGCGGGAAGCTGACGGGGGTCAGCAATCCCATCACCATCCGAGCGTCGGGCTCCCGCTTCGGCTCGTGGATGACTGACACGATGACGCCCAGCTCCGACAGCCGGGTGAGTGGCACAGGCACCCGTGGGGATGGCGGGGGGGGACGGGACAGCCCTGCTGGGGCTTCCTGCGGCTCCTGCGTGGCTCTTTCCTGGGTGTTTTTCCCCAAAACCCTCCCAGACCCAAGCAGAGGTGAATTTTGTAGGGGGCAGCTCCTCTTCTGGCACGCTGATTGTGTTTTTTTGTGAAATCCCAGCACTCCTCGGGTACCGTGTCCCCTGGAACCTGTCTGGCTTGTGCTGCCACGTCCCTCCTGGCTGTGCCTCTGCAGGGACCCGTCCCTGGGGTGCAAGTTGCCCACGCTGCCCGTGCACCCAGATTAGACTCTCACCCGGGTGCCCGTGCCCGGCTCTATGGTCACCGGGGCGCAGACCCTCTGCTCCGTTGGCGCGGGGCATGCGCTGCCTCTGCGGAGCTCTGCCAACGGAGGCAACCGGGCTGCCACGCCGGGAGGCTGGGCAGGAGCTTCCCGGGAGTCTCAGCAGGCTGGGAGCTCAGTCAGGCCGGGTGTCGCTAACGAAGCGCGCCCTCTTATTAAAAATTAGCCAGGCGTTTGATCTGCAGAAAGAGCAGAAAACATGTGTGAAGAGGGAAGCCAGAAAAATTGCGTGTCCTGGCGCGTGGCAGCAGTGTAAAGGGCTGCATGGAGAGGCGGGGGGGCGGGGGGCTGTGCAGGACGTGGGCTGTGTCCGTCTGTCCTGGCGGCACATCTGGAGGGGGGTGGGGGCCCCGTTTTGGCCGGGTGTCCCTGACCTGAGCCCGCTGCAGGTGTGGTACATGGACGGTTACTACAAGGGCCGCCGCGTCTTGGAGTTTCGGACCTTGAACGACTTTGTGACGGGACAGAACTTCGTGCAGCATCTCCTGCCGCATCCCTGGGCCGGCACCGGCCACGTGGTCTTCAACGGGTCCCTCTACTACAACAAATACCAGAGTAACATCGCGGTGAAGTACCACTTCCGCTCCCGCAGCGTGCTGGTGCAGCGCAGCCTCGCCGGCGCCGGCTACAACAACACCTTCCCTTATTCTTGGGGTGGTTTCTCCGACATCGACTTCATGGTGGACGAGAGCGGGCTGTGGGCCGTCTACACCACCAACCAAAACGCCGGCAACATCGTGGTGAGCCGGGTGGACCCCCAGACGCTGGAGGTGCTGCGTAGCTGGGACACGGGTTACCCCAAACGAAGCGCCGGAGAGTCCTTCATGATCTGCGGCACGCTCTACGTCACCAACTCCCACCTCGCCGGCGCCAAGATCTATTTTGCCTACTACACAAACACTTCCAGCTACGAATACACGGATATTCCCTTCCACAACCAGTATTCCCACATATCCATGCTGGACTACAACCCGCGGGAGAGGGTGCTCTACACCTGGAACAACGGCCACCAGGTCATCTACAACGTCACGCTCTTCCACGTCATAAAGACGTCGGGCGAGCTGTGACCCCGCGCCGGACTCCTCTGCTCTCCCTCCCCAGCTCTTTATTTTTCTACACTTCAGCCTCAGCCATTCTCTCTAGGGGATGGAGTCTTCCTCCTCCTCTTTGATTTTTATTTTTTCTATATTTCTTTGGTTTCTTCCCGCGGTTCATGGCGCATGGATCTCTTCTGTCTTCATTTGAGCTGACCTTGGTCATTTTTTTTTTTTTTCTCCAATTTACATCTTTATTTTGATGGCGAATAAAAATGGTCTCTTTGACGTTTGATGGGGCTTGTGCTGATATCTTTTTTTTTCCCCAATTTTTAAAAAAAATATTATTTACCACCTGATGGCTTGATTTCCCCCCCTTTTCCTGTATCCTCTCCGCCGGCGGATGCCAGCAGCCGGCTGTAATCTCCAGCCCTCTCCTCCAGATGTGCGCCGGCAGCCAGCGATGTTGTTTATGGGCATGTTTAATGCATGCGGGTGCGGCACTGGGGAAATTACAGCAGCACTGGGCAAGGCGAGGAGGAAGGAAAGGGAAATTATAGTGCAGCTGCGGCGAGTCGGGCGGGAGCAGACCCTGCAAAGCGGGGAGCAGACATTGCATGGGTGGCTCACCCCAAAGTGAGCACCCAGCGAGGCTGGGGCAGCAGGGTCCTGGCCTGGGGGGAGAAGAAGAACCTGCTGCCCAGAGAGGGGTGGAGATGTGGAGGGGATGGAAGGGGTCAGGGGAGATGGAGGGGATGGAAGAGATGGAGGAGATGTGGAGGGGTTGGAGGTGATGGAGGGGAGGGAGGAGATATGGAGGGGATAGAAAGGGTCAGGAGCTGGAAGGGGTGGAGGAGAGGTAGGTAGAGGAATTGGAAGAGATGGAGGAGATGTGGAGGGGTTGGAGGAGATGGAAGGGCTGGAGGAGATGTGGAGGGGTTGGAAGGGGTCAGGAGATGGAAGGGGTGGAGGAGATGGGGTGGGAGGGACAAAGGGCTGGAGGGACCCAGGGCAGGGGGAGGCCGAGGGACTGGTGCTGCCTGAGGCTCGGAGGCAGCCTCGCCACTCAGGCAAACCTCCCATGGGCACGATAAGGCCTCATAAAGCTTAAAATGATGCTGTAAAATCGTGCTGCAGAGCTGTGATTCCCAGGGCTACGGCTCAGCCTGGACCCTGTGGAATGGATGCTGTGCAAACTGGCGGGGGGGGTGCAAGTAGAGACACCCCAAACCTGGGCAGAAATCTGCATGGGGATGCTGGCAGGATGGGGAAAAGGATGGGGACAGGGTGTGTTCAAGCCTGCAGAGGTGACATCAGCCGTTTTGATTCCCCACTGCAGCCCTGGGACCTTCGAAGGCTTTGGGCAGGGGATGGCGGGGGGGCTGGTCCAGCTCTGGAGTCCCATCCCCACCCCAGGGATGGTATCATGGAGCCGGCGCCTGGGTCGAGAGCATAAAATTGAAGCTGGAAGCACCTTGTCACGTTTATTCTCCTCTTGATAGAGGAGTGGGGAACAAGAGGATAATCCTCGTTAATCCCTTCCGCTGCTTGTGTGTGAGAGGAGCGGGTTGGGAGCGCTGTGATGATGCTGGGTCTCAGCGGCGCCCCCCCCCCCCCCCCCC